TTCCAGTTTCCATCCCAACCCGCGCCCCTCCCTAATTGCTTATCATTCGCCCACAAGGCTTGGGCGAAGCTTGTTGTGCCTGCGCCGGTGCCTCTTCCCTTTTCACTCCCCCATGCCTCTTCGGGCAACGCCATCCGCCCACTAATCCTCCACTTCAATATACCAAACCTGCCCAAAGCGCCAGCCAGCTCCCTTAAGCCCTGCCGTAAGATAAGGCCGAGTAACCTAGTTAGTTGCCGCTGCTCCCGGCGCTGGGCCAAGCCGTCGGACTTCCGTCCCCCCTCTCTCTTCCCTTTCCCCCCATCCCTCCCCTCTCCACTGGTGGAACGATGTCTGGTTGACTTCAATTCGCCCCTGGATCGGGTGGCTGCCGTACTATTGCATGTTCGTCCGAAACTGCTAGGAGAGTTTCGTTCTACCCGGAGTATCCGTGTTTAGTCCGCGGGTTGGCTTGCCGGCTGGCTGACCCGTGTCCTCTAGGTAAGGCTCTGAAGGAGGATTTTACTAGGTAGAAACGGGATCTAACAATGAGGGGGAAATAGAATGGCGGATATGGCTTGCCGGGGGGGTCCTTTGCGGCCTGGACGAAGGAAGAGGAGATGATCACTAATGCAACACAATCTTGGCTTGCAAGGAATTGCGCTCCAACCAGAATGTCTCTTTGCGTTGGGAGATGCCAACTCGTGCGGGCCATGCTGGACGGATAGTATGATGCTCCACTCTCGCTCGACCTTTTGCATGTCCGCAACCGTTTCCCCCGTATCGTTGCGTGGGGACCGTCTTTTCTGCAGCTATGGCTGCTGCTGCCCCGACGGTGAACGAGTCTGCATCCCCGGTTTTAGTCGACTTTAGTTGGCGGACCTGGAGATTAAACTCCGTCGGACGAGGAGGAGCAGTGGTGTCATTGTCGGCGGATTGCATGCTATCGGAAGAGCATGGAAGAGGGAAAATAGAAAAAACACAAGCTTCATCTGTCGAAAGCTCGAGCATAAATAGAGGCTTGAATTCCGCTGTTCTGGTTGCTTTTCTTCTTCATCCAGCATCGCAATTCTCTCAAGCATCGCCTGGTTCGATCATCTCACTCTTCCACCACCGACCTTGTCAATAAGTTAGCTCTTCATCTTTTCGAAGAAACCAATCCTCCAAACGTCAAAATGAAGTTCTCTGCTATCCTTACCGGCTCCCTCTTCGCCACTGCCGCTCTGGCTGCTCCTCTCACTGAGAAGCGCCGTGCTCGCAAGGAGGCCCGCGCCGCTGGCAAGCGCCACAGCAACCCTCCCTACATCCCCGGTTCCGACAAGGAGATCCTCAAGCTGAACGGCACCTCTAACGAGGAGTACAGCTCCAACTGGGCTGGTGCTGTCCTGATCGGCGATGGCTACACCAAGGTCACTGGCGAGTTCACTGTCCCCAGTGTCTCTGCCGGCTCTAGCTCCGGTGGCTACGGTGACTATGGCTACGGTGGTGGCTACGGCTACGGCTACTACAAGAACAAGAGACAGTCCGAGGAGTACTGCGCCTCTGCCTGGGTTGGTATCGACGGTGACACCTGCGAGACCGCTATCCTCCAGACCGGTGTCGACTTCTGCTACGAGGATGGCCAGACTTCTTACGATGCCTGGTACGAGTGGTACCCTGACTACGCCTACGACTTCAACGACATCACCATCTCCGAGGGTGACAGCATCAAGGTCACTGTCGAGGCCACCAGCAAGAGCAGCGGTAGCGCCACCATTGAGAACCTGACCACTGGCCAGTCCGTCACCCACACCTTCAGCGGCAACGTTGAGGGTGACCTTTGCGAGACCAACGCCGAGTGGATCGTTGAAGACTTCGAGTCTGGTGACTCCCTTGTTGCTTTCGCTGACTTCGGCTCCGTTACCTTCACCAACGCTGAGGCTACTAGCGACGGCTCTACTGTCGGTCCCTCTGACGCCACTGTCATGGACATCGAGCAGGATGGTACCGTCCTCACCGAGACCTCCGTCTCTGGCGACAGTGTCACTGTCACCTACGTTTAAATGCATCTCTATGCATGAGATATCGGTCGCTTCGATGTCTTTGTCTCGACGACAAGCCCTGGGGATGAATGAAAAATGAGTGATGAGCTATCCGGATTGATCTGATCTTGTTGAGTTGTTAATTCTGCTTCTGTTGATGATTTTGAGTGATTGTACCTACTTTGAGTGGAAGAAATAAATGCGCGCGCGATGCTGAAAATAAATGTTCCTCATCTAGTAGATTGTAGAAGGTATTTTGAAGTTGTGCTGTCGATCTGAAGATCCGAAGATCACTAGTGAGATCTCGCAGCTCGGTTGTGTAAGTGCTTTTGCTCCGTCGATCGCAACTTTGTAAAAGCTTGTATAATGGCGGACATATATCATTCATCTGAATGCCTCAAACTGATTTGTTTTATGAACAGCCCAATTTGGACAGAGGTTTGGAGAGTCGGGTGGAAGCGTCGGGCCGTGGATGGCATGTTGGAAGGCTCTTAGCATGAACCCAAGGATCGGCAGTATGGGGCTAATGACTAAGAGAGAATCGAAAACACTTTAATAGATCTTATAGGGGCTTTGAAGATAGTTACAGTTTTGTTAATGGAGATGAAGGATGACTTGGCTTACCTTTTCGGGAAATGATGCTTGAGCCATCGCAATAGAGGCATGGTCAAACAGGACTCAAGCACAGCCAATGCTTGGTAAGTGAAATTCCAGGCAAAGTCGTAATCTGAAAATAAGATAGAGGCGTAGAAAACACAAACCAATTGATTATGGTAGCTCGGTTGCAGTGATGAGTGCTTTTCATGGTTTTGGGAAGACATGACGTTAAGAAGAGACACGTGATCCGTATAGGCAGCAGAGTAGCGCCACACCTTATTTTGTAGTATTAAAAGATTGAGGAGGTCTTAAGGCGCTGTGTACAAGACACGTTGGCGAAGTATCTCACTACCTTTGTAAGTGTGAGTGTGTCTTCGTTCGGGACAAACGATGTTCTGCAGACGTCAGCTATGAATGATGTGACATACCACCTCTGAGCACCGTGTTCTTGCACGATAAAATGTATTAGCTAGGCATAGAAAAGTGTCTTCTTTTTCCATGAAAGGACGGGCTTTCTAAATACCCAACTTCTCGCCAGACGTGGCAAGAAGGTTTCTGCAAACGCAGCGTGATAACTGCAGCCTTATCGTTTAAAGCCACTTCGTGTCATTAAGCTATATTAGCAATGCAGCCAATGCAGGGACCTCGGGGTCCGATACCGTTACCCTGAAGCTGTCAGGTACTGGATCTAGGCTGGGATAAGGCAGAGATCCCACCTGTCGCCATACTTCCCTTGATTGGGACTATTCCATATTGGGAATGTGCACGGAAGGTGACATGCTGACGTAAGAGCTTGTGCCGAATGCATAAGCCAATGAAGTGCCTTCCTAAATGGGTAGAGAGCTTTCCAGCAAGACCAACTCTTAGTACTTAGTCCTAGTATCGATTATAGTATCTCCATCATATCGCAGCCGATGGCCTAGACGTATTTGAAACAGAACCTACACATAGAAATTAATGATGACTAAAGATCTTGTCCACTCATTCACAGCAATTTCGATACATCAATCACTCAACTCCTCGACACGTGACAGGTCTACTATTCTACATGCGTGTAACCAATCTCCCAATCTCTGTCATTTAATACCAGTCAAATCACCCATTTAGACATAGTGAATGGAATAGGTAAGGAAAGTTCCATATTCTCGACATGGAACCAAGAACCGTTGCCGGCTGCTGCCGTGCCCCTCCTTCCATTTAAGATTTCTCTATTTAATATACTTCCACCCTTCTCACTTCCAACAATCCAACTTCCAACTCTTCATCCAAACCTCATTTTCTTGACCACCTGACATCTTCTCTCCACCAAACAATCACAAACAACCAACAACAACCATGTCCAGCTCCGGAAAGGACTTCAGCTACAAGGGCTCCGGCACCAACAGCCAGGCAAGTTCCATATACAATAAGCCCCACCCCCCCTCAACAATAAACGACTAACATCGCAACCTAATCGAAAGGGAAACCACTGGTGCTCCCGCGACTACGGATCCGGTAGCTCTAACTCGAACTCTTACCACTATTCGAATAGGTCTGTCATTCATCTCAATACCCAACCTATACTTTTCGTAGAGCAAACTAAGACCCATCTAATGCCTTCCTCTCAGCAACGGATCTTACTACTACTCCAACCCCAATGGAAGCACCTACTACAATAACGGAAGCGGTGGTTCGACCTATACTCCTCCCAGCGGAAACGGTGGCTCGACTGGAAAGAAATAAGTGCGAAGCTTAGAGCGTTGAACGCTGAGGATCACGTTGAGACTGAGTGGTATTAGCTTAAGGTGATATCTCCTGTAGCTGTGCCGGTCATTGTTGGGAATGAGCTTCTTTTGTCCCCATCAATGACGAGGATGATAATGATGGTATAGCGACGGAGTATCTTTACACCGCAGGAATTTGACCTGGCGTTTACTTGTTCTTCTTCAAATGCATGTGCCCAGATTAAGTGCTGATCTTTGGAAATCCAAGTAAGATTTCTGCTATTTAGTGGGGTACTGCTTAGCTTGACGATCTTATTGTAGAACGTATGTTTAAGTTCGTAGCGTTTTGCGTTATTAGAAACGGTAAACATGTTGTGCGTACCTGCTACCTATTATAGTTTACACAAAGGGCTTCTTATTCAGGATATAGCTAACGGCAATTAGCATAAAGCACCTGTGACTTTATGGGAAACTTAACTGTTCAATATTATTAGAATACTGGCCAGATTTTAAGGCTGATAGTTCGTAACATGTAAAGCATACTATGCTTACTTTTCCGGAAACTTCAAAAGCTTCTAAGGCAACCTTCCGTAGCCACCGTAAATGCAAAAGCAAGCCACATATCATACCTGTCCAAATATAAAACAATGCTAGTTTTCTCTGAAATTATACGAGTCTACTATGTTGAATACTACTTACTGTCGAAATATTGCATACTTGATTGGTTTATGTGACTTGGAGGCGCTCAGGCACACACAAATCTCGGCAGGCAGAACCAGTACCAACCCACCATCCACCACTTCCTAATAACGATTAGCGTGTCTTCTTCCCGGTCGGCGTATCTCTTTAACGCGACCACCGCATTAATTGCCCCTCCACACTTGATCATCATTTACCATTGCTATCCCCGTTTCTTAGGGAATTTTTCTTTAGTTGAGAACTTTCCAGAACACCAGATCATTACTGGGAGCATGTCTCACAGACTCTTTATCCTTGTCTACAGAGGCGATCCCCTCGATTACAGCGAATACCGACACACGGCTCTATATGTGCAATTCGCATCACAAAAACGCAGTATCCTTCATATTCTAGGCACCCAGGGTCTCTACAGATATGTGGAATACCCTGGGGCTGATCCGATGGAACTTGGGGATTTGGTGCGTGCGGTGCCGGTGACGGATTTGTCGGTCTCCGTTGAGGAAGATGAAATTCGGGAGACGGTGGCACGAACGCCGGTGCGCAATGGGTATTTGGATTTGGAGTGGAACTGCCAGCACTGGGTGGGGGATGCCTTGGCCAGATTGGTGGACAGAGGTTGGGTCGCAGACACGGAGCGGGCGGATGCAATCGATAAGATGACCGACGCTTGCTTAGAGGCCCGTGATGACCAGCTGCTGGATGCTCAGTGATCGGGTTTGTTACTTTTTTTTCAACAATGAAGGTATGTATGCGTATCTCCTTGCTCGCTCATTACTCATGAGAAGTCGATTAATTCTCCTAGGTTCCCATCAGTGGTCATTCTCGAGGTGGAAAGTGATCTCACGCCTTGGTGGCTGGGAGTGAGATCGGTTGTTGAGACTGCGTTGCTGCAGTGTGGGGTAGCACCGGGGGTAAAATGGCGTCACTTGAACTATTCTTTGCCTCCCAGCAGCAAGTTCCATAGTTTATTGGTACTTGCGTGAATGCGTATAGGCCACAGCATACACAACACCCATTCGTGGTGGTATTGTCGCGTGGGGTTTCTAGTGCTTATCACATCAGTCGCCAGGCAAGCGTGATCCCCAATGACTGAGGCCTACCTCTTTCAACAGTTACTGATTAAGTTTGGAGTGGTTACACCCGATTGAACCGCTTGAGGGCCTGTCCACTTGGCTGAAGAGGGCGGGCCTTTATGCTGGATTATGTACGTACATCTCGGTGAGCGTACGGCTGGTATTGTTAGGGAAGATCCGAGATTCTGCATCTCGGGAACAGGTCATCATGGCCATTGAGGTGGCAGAACAGAAAACGAGAAAGAATTAGAAAGCAAACAACGGAAGAAGCAAAAATCATCATCGATGTCATTCGGGGCTTCGCCATGGAACCGTCGTACTGTTACCGTCCAACTGCATAGCTGCGGTGAATATATGAAAATTGAAAGTTGACACGTGAGATGATGACTCAAATTGAATTGATCCTTCCTGCAAGCATCTTCAGTTAGCTGAATGCTAGTAAGAACCCCGCAAAACAGGGCATGAATGGCTGAAGGCCCAGCAGATGCCCCCTCCTCGCAGGGCCATTATCTCATTCCTATCTCCCTTGATGGTAATGTCAGCATGCCAGCCTAATCCTGCTGCCGAGGCTGTACTTCACATGAGGAGACCCTGTTCGCCGATGATTCAGGCATCCTAACGTTACAAGGTATGGTTCACATTCGGCGGATACCCTCTGTGGTAGCCGTGGGAGGTGCAGCTTGCCATCATCTGATATATCACTCAACCGCTGCTTAAAAGATCGCCCATCACCCCAGAGTTTTCACCTCCTCTCCATCCCTAGACAAACTCATAGCCCACCATGGATTTCAACCAAGTTGATCATCCTGTTTTTACGATTGCGACTGTTATTCTCTTTCTTTGGTATACCTTGACCTACCTGCAACGGAAATGGACGCATCGTCGTATCATAAAAGCGAACAATTGTCAGCCACCACCATACTTTCCTCAGAAGGACCCTATCTTCGGCCTTGACATTATTTTTGAGCAGATCAAGTATTCCAGGAAATACAAGACTCTCGAGCGGTTTAGCGAGCGATTCAAGCTATATGGCAACACTTATACACAACGACGATTGACCCCTTACGTTATAACTTGTGAGCCGGAGAATATAAAGACAATCCTGTCCCTCCGATTCAAGGATTATGGCTTGGCAGGCCGCATCGATGCATTGGGTCCGCTTTTGGGCCATGGCATCTTCACTACCGATGGCGAGCATTGGGTACAGTCGCGTGCCATGGTCCGTCCAAATTTCGCGAAAGAGCAAGTCGCGCATTTGGAGATTTTTGAGGAACTTGTCAACGAACTGGTCTCATTGATCCCAACCGATGGCAAAACGGTTGATCTACAGGAGTTATTCTTCGAGCTCACTATCGACTCTGCAACGGAATTCCTCTTCGGGCACAGTGTGCACAGCCTCAAGAAGCGACGGGCTGGGGCCTGTGACAGTACAGAGCAGGACTTTGCCAGCGCTTTCAATTATGCACAAAAGGCTATCGCAATGAACATACGCCTTGGTAAGCTCAAATTTCTCCGTCGCGACCGCAAGGCAGAAGAAGCCAATCGTATTTGCCATAAATTGGTGGAGCAATTCGTCGACAGTGCACTGAGAGTGCGAGAGCAGTCCAGCAATCAAAGGGAATTTACTGTAGAAAATAGTCACGATGCAAAGGGAAAGAAAAATTACCTTTTCCTGCATAGTCTAGCCCAGCAGACGGGAGACCGAAGGCGAATTCGCGACGAACTAATGAATATTCTCCTGGCCGGGCGAGATACCACGGCATCCTTGTTGAGCAACCTGTTCTTTATGCTAGCAAAGAACCCTCGCATCTGGAACAAATTGCGCGAGGAAGTTGCTTTCCTAGAAGGCCGCCCGCCGTCGTACGAGCAACTGCGTAACCTGACATATGTGAAATACTGCCTGAATGAATGTAAGTAATCCTGACCCGCAAAAAGTCTCATGAAACATGGCTTACTTGGCACTGTAGCTCTTCGCCTTCACCCTGTTGTCCCAGCAAATTTGCGCTTTGCCAACACGGATACAGTACTTCCCTGCGGTGGTGGGCCAGACGGCAAGTCGCCTGTTTTCGTGCCAAAGGGCTCTATAGTTGCCTATCATGTCTATGCTCTTCACCGTCGTGAAGAATTTTTCGGCCCGGATGCAAACGAGTTCCGGCCTGAACGTTGGGCTGAGATCCGTCCGGGATGGGAGTACTTGCCCTTCAACGGGGGACCACGGATTTGCGTTGGCCAACAGTATGCACTGACAGAGGCGGGGTATGTCACGGTTCGGCTAGCCCAGAAGTTCTCTGTGCTCGAAAGCAGGGATTCAGGGCCATGGGTGGAGAGTTATGCATTGACAGTTTGTTCAAGGAATGGGACGAAGGTGGCATTGAGATAATTTCTGCTTGTTTCTGTCTGGATTGTAGAGACGCCGAAGAGTTAGAAGCATGTCGCGTACATAGTGTCTCCTCCAGTATGTTATTGGTGGATTTGTGAATTTATGGTATTGCGCAAGTCCACATAGAACTGTATCAACTTGGGGTAGCTGTACAAGCGAAGAAAGGTCAGGTGCCAGTTGGTCACGAGCTTTGTCCGGGTACCTGACTTGGATGCAAGGCAGTTTCCATGCCAGGGAGGACTCTCTGTAGCATGGATGTGTCTGACGAGTGCTACGGCTCAGAATAGCTGAACTTCGCTACTATATATTATGTTGAGATATCTCATTTACTGGAGCCAGGTATCACCAGATCCTTCACCATCTGTGTCCATATAGTCTTTGACTACCACCACTACTACCATGACAGCTAACATCATTTTAAGATATCTCGGCGGATTGTAAGAGAGATGGATAGACGAAGTATAAACATCCAGCAGAACCGCTATCAAGTGAGGCATTCATTGTTTCTCTTCCCGAGATCCCTGAGGGTTCAGACAAATCCGGCATGTCGAACGGCCCAACAACGCAAAGATGCATCGTATCATGGAATGTGTCAGTGGTCATACACAAGGCCTAATTAGTCTCTGCCCTTTGTCTTGAGTTGTTTTGCTGCAGAAACATGGTGGAAACGAACTCCATGTCAGTGAAGTAACTTTGCATGGCCGACTCCTTACAGGTGCTATAGCTGCCACAGCTCCAGTCAGGCGAAATGAAGTAGATAAGTACAGCTCCCCTTGCTATCCCTTAGTAGCCTAATCACAACTAGTTGCTGTACGTCGGATTTATATAACAAGCGTTTAATAGGTCTATGACAGTCTTTGTCCTTCGCTCTACAAAATGTAGGCTGCAACCGCTGACCAAATCCAAACCATGAGAACCATGATACGCTTCACTAACTTGTTGGGCTGTTCAACAGGCCTGATCCATCTCAACCCTCAGGGATCTCAGAAAGAGGGACAATGGATGTCTCACTTGATAGCGGGTTTGTGGATGATGTTATGTGGGGAACTACTGCAGGCTCAACAAGGCCATGGGCTGTATAGCAGGACTACACGGAAAGCCTGATGTCGCACAAGAAGACCGGAGCAAAGGGGGTCAGCAAGAAAAAGTATCGGAAAGAAAAGGAGACGGAACACAGGATTCGTGGGGGCGTCGACATGATTGCCTATTATTAGTAGGTGACGAAGAACGGAGACAAAGGGAAGCCCAAGCCAAGGAAAGCATGCAACTGGGGCCCGCTGCCTTATAACAACTGGGCGTGACACAGCAGCATAACATAGTAACTGCCCGTCTGGCTAGGGAGTAGAGCTTATAACGAAATAGGGAACTCGTCACTAGGCAAACCGACATGACAGGCCACGTCTAGCGTATCAAACCCGCGCTCTGTACCTGTCGTCGGGTGAAACGAGGCTGAGATGTATCCTGTCATATGATGGGTTTGCATGCGACGACAGCTGGTACCTGGAATGATGCCTGTTGGTTTGCCATGCTTTCGCACCGGCTCTGAATCCTACTAGTCAGTTAGTATCAAGAACCCAGCCTGGCTCCACAACATTCAGATCCAATGGCCAGCCACAGAGATGGGAGGTTAGTATCTATCGTCGTTCGTGGGTTCTGACGCTTATGGCGGTGAACTCAATCCTCACAAAGCTCACAGGCTTCCACAAGCCGTTCTTTGAGCCTTGGGTTCATTTTCCTTGAGGCTGGAAATACTGATTAACAGGGCGACGGAAGTGGCGGTGAAAAGGAGGCCTAGAAGATTCCCGTCCCACAATTTATCTGCCAATGGTGCTTTTTCCGGCATTCTAAAGAATCCATGAAGCTGTGGCCAGTGGTGGATCTCAGGGTCCTGCAAGATGGACAACGGAATTGCTTCCCCGATTGGACTATTGATCGCCTGAAGCAATTGCCAGCCATTTTTTGCGCAGATGTGGTTCAATAGACGGGCTGACGGACTCCATCCGCCGTGGTCCAGCCGATCGGAAACACGATCAATCGCGATACCCACCGAATTAAACATGTCTGACTTATTCGAATAACGCATCCACAGTCCACACACCTCGAAAGAAGAAAAAGCGAAACTTCCATGGATTGATGTGTCGATCTGCATCTCATTGCTTTTTCCCTCTTTTCCCTTTCTTTGTCGCCCATCTTCCCTTTCTTTCTTTTTGAGTTCCAGATTCCGCCCGGCGACCGTCTCAGTCGGCCCACTCCTCCAACATCGTCGTCACTTGTCGCACAATAGATTCCATTGCTACTATAGCCTAACCGGCTCGTCGGTGCCCAATACCCGGGATCAAAACTACTAGTATGCCCGGAAGACCATCCGCGTGAACGGATCGGAGAGTAAGAAGCCAATCAGACCAGAACCGTTGATCCCGACAGTCTGTCACACAAACCCTCACCCTGCGAACTACGTGTTCCGTCCCGCCCTTCGACTTCGTTCCGATGTTGGTTTCTCTCTACTTCCCCGGCCAATCGGGAGCCGACCAGCCTGATGTCCCAAGGACTCGTCGGTCACGACGGGCGCCCTTTGGGAGGAAGGGCCTGGCGCATTATTGTCGGACGGTGGTATTCCACAGAAGCTAACCTGCATATCCACCGCCTGTCCACTCTGCCGCGACGGGGAAGCTTTCCCCCCCCGCCCAAATCAGCAGCGGGTCATCTCTTCAGTCCTTTGAATAACAAATCTCGTCAATTCCACGGAATGCAAGGGAATTGTTGAACAAGGTCGATACACAAGGGTGTGGACTCGTCGTCGACAGGCGGCCACATGGCACGGGAGAGTGAATTATCAGGTCGATAGACCCGGAATGATGAATGGACTTGACGTCGGGGCCACTTAGTTGTCTATAAATATGCTCGACAGCCTGCTAACAGTTAGACTTAAAAGGACTACTTCCCAGTGAGAGCTTATCTTGCGTTCAACCCACCCCTCTCCTCTGCGAAGCTTAATCTGGCCTTACGAACGTCTTCTTCTTTCACTTGTGTTCAGGCGGCAACCATACAACATACATACTAGTAACACACAATGGACCGAAGTGCCACCAGCGGAAACAATGGCTCTGGCCGTGCCACTAATGGCACACATTCTGATTTACCGGACCTGGCTACATACCAAGCCCAATGGGCCAAAATCCATGATGATACTGTGCGCCAGATCAACGAAGCTTTAGGTATGTACTGCCCATTATTGCTTTCTTTGGTGCATCATTTAACCCTGCCGAATTTATAGAACAAGAGAAGAAACGCATAACCAACCGACCAAAGCAATCTTCTTCAAGCTAGCAATGAATAATGAGCTTCCGGAGAAATGGCGATGTCGGGTGTTTATCGGAACTCTGTTATTTCTGGACTCTTTCTTGTTGTGCGGCATCTGCTTGCTTTTTTTTTTTTTTTTTTTTTTTTTTTTTTTTTTTTTTTTTTTTTTTTTTTTTTTTTTTTTTTTTTTTTTTTTTCTTCACTTCGTGATGATCTCCCTTCTTATTTGACTTTCCCAAATTTCCGCAGTCTTACGTTTATTGGCCTCGTTTTTGGATTGCATTTCTCTTGCCGTGAAGCGGATCAGCGTTGTTCCATTATATACCATCTACCAGTCTGGATATTTCAAAAGTTGATTAACCTTTCTTTATTTGACACAGTTCAAGGTCATATAAGCTAATTGCCATCTCTTTCTTCTTTGAATTATGACAGTGTACCTATCCTTCAGCTGCCCCTGTAACGAATAAACGCCCTATTATGGGCTAAATCCATAGCGTGGGGTGACACTGTCCATGCGCCCCAAGTTAGATTAATCCCTGACGTCACAGCTGCCGGTGTACCCTTTGTTGCCTAATCATACGAAGAGCTCAGCTGGTGTTCGACCATAGAAGAACCAGAGTGATATGTAGGATGACGTTTTTACCTCTCCCACCCACCCAGTACCCGGGGAGGAAGGAAAAGGAGGAAGAGGAACAACAGCACCGCCACGAAGTTCGAAGTGATACTAGTCCCTATCGCTGACGGGACGCCACACCACCAGATCTATCGTATTGGATCCATCCCGACCGCCGAGATAAGTTATTCCCCTGTATATAAACAGAAGCAAAATCAATAAACCGTCCCACCAAGCAAAAGAGACCAGTTCCTTTGGGGCCCAGACTCACTTTCTAGACAGACCTCAAATTACGAGTCCTGCCACATCCCAATACTACTAGTAGAAATTGAAGCACTGGTGGCTCCACCGGGTGCCTCCGATCTCCATTGCATTGCCGTTCGCCGCGGAGACTTCCGAACCCTCCGTTACAAAAGATGGGTCCACGCCGATCCCTTTTCCCCCCTCTATGTAGGCCCTCGAGCAAAAGTACCATGCCTTCTTGCCAGAAAGTACCGCGACCAGTAACTGGTTTGGGAGGTTGGCTGCTTGGCCCCATCTATTTCATGCATCATGTCCTTTTGCCTTTTTCGTTTTTTTCTTCGCTCATATGACTGATGATGTAATTTGTAACTATGTGCGCGAGGGTCTATCTGGTGACTGCAGCCCGACTCATTTAGCCGCCTTCGTTTCACCAGTATCAATTGAGAAATTTTCTTTGATTGTTGGACAATATTTTCGCCGAGGCTGTTGCTGACACACAGAGCAGATGCAGACCAGATGGTTGGCAAATGACTGGACAGTATGACCTGCGGGCTCAGCTGAGTCGCGTTCGGCGCGTGGGTTTTTCCCAGTTTAGGCTACTCGCTGGGTTTCGGGGAGAGGTGGATTTTGGCGACTGTCGCGGTTGTAGATCTATTCTTTAGTTGCCTGGAGTGAGTCATTTAGGAGATGCACATGTACTTTTCGAAAAAGCTGCTCGCCTATCATGGAAGACTGTCGGGGATAGCTCTTCAGGTTTTTGTTCATGTGCTATTGCAGCAAATGCTTGATTTTGGTTTTTAGAAGGATATTGTTCTTGTGGTTCAGGTCGAGGAACAGGGACAATGTACATCTGTTTATGCACTCGAAGAATCAAGGGATGTGCTTCCCATTCTGTTAAAGCTGAATCTGATACTTGGCCATGGCCGTTGTCGTCGTTGGGGCTAGCTGATTCGAGAAAGTCACGTTCTCGGTCTGCAGCCTCGAGCTTGTCCCCGGCGGTGTTAGTGTCACCTTTGTCCTCCCGACATTCTTCACCTTATCCTGACGTTCTATCCTTGCCTTGGGATCATTTCGAACCATGGGGAAGCAATAATCTGATTATTATTATAACTGCTTGCCTGCATTAACTGACAACCGCTCTATACCCCTGTCCTTCCTCCGAGAACAGGTACGATGGCACTGAAATATTTTGATGGCTCTAAGCGCTACTCTTCATATATCATTTGTGCACTGACCTCACCCCGCTTCAAGAAGATCTCGGACACAACCGCCCATTATTGTTCCACGAATACGGCAAAGGATCCGTGACTTGAACTTCCCAGTCCTCCGAACCCACCGCCGTAAGAGCAAAGAACAACCCGGTCGGGTCGTACTTCTGCTTCAACTCATACAGCCGCGGATAGTTGGCACCATAGAATGCCTGCTGGAAGTTGGGCTCCAACAAGTCACCCTCATTCATATACGCGCCAGAGTCGGGAGAGATCTCCCGAAGAGCATCCATCCAGTTCGTCACAAACAGTGAAGAATTTTTGACTGTTTCCCAGCTCGAGGTGAACTCCCATTCGGTTGCGACGATGACGTGAGAAAGAGCGTCACGCCACGCCGGCAAAACTGCAATGTTCGTCAGCGGCTCGACAGCGCTTCCTTTACCACTGATGTGGAAGCCCATGATGAATAAGCCCTACTACGGTCAGTAACTAACATTAATACGCATACGATTTGAACAGTCAGCATACCTTCTCAACGGCGTCCTTTTGAGCAAGGAAGTTCCGGTTACGGAGGTCTTGGTTCTCGAACACATTTCGAGGCAGAAGACGTGAAGCCAATTTGTATATGTCCAATCCACCGGTTTCCAGAGGAAAGTTATCCTCCTCCCAAACTTCATAGAAGTTATCCGCATGGCTGTAAATGGGAGTGAAGCTGACGTTAAGGCTCTTAAGGGTATTGAACCAAGGTCTGAGCAGGTTCTGCGTTTGTGGAATGGTGATGTTGGGCGCAACAAAGGAGACCATGCGGAAGTTGTAGTCAGTGGCATTGGAAGAAGCTTCACCGTTCTCAGCTGCCGAGGATCCCAGAAAATAGTACCCATATGTTCCAGCATTGACAAAGTCCTCGAAGTGGTCTAGGTAAGACCCGAAAGCGGCCCAGAACGCTTCAGCATTTGGAGTGTCGTTCATCGTCCAGTTGAAAGTCACGATTGTCGTGGGCAATTTCGGATACGCCTTGATGGTCATGGATGTGACCACACCAATTGTGCTGCCTCCACCACCGAGAAGCATCCAGAAGACGTCTGAATTCTGCTTGGAAGTTGCTGTGATAAAGCGACCGTCCGCCAAAACAACTGTAGATTGATCAGTGAACTGTCACCAAGGATGATATGTTGAGTCACAGGGAAATCCAACCTTCTAGAGCCAAAACCTGATCTGCCGCCATGCCATACATGCTGCTCAATGGCGAGTGGCCTCCACCAAGTGTGAAGCCACCAGCAACCCCAACAGAGAGGCATCCGCCTCCGATGACGGTCACATTCAACGCTTTGCCGAAGTCATACGCCTCCGAAACTTGAACTCCAGCTCCCAGCTTTATAGCAGGTCCAACATAACCACCGTCAGACGTGAAGGAGGGGTAAAAAGCCTTGTTTTTGAGTCGGTGCGTCCAAATCGATAGACCTCCTTTTCCTGATGGCTTGCCGTTGAAATCGTGACCGGTGTTCTTAACTATCAAACGAAGGTTCTGGTTTCGGGCAAAGTTCACAGCCAACTGAATCTGTGCAACAGTGGATACGTTGACGACGTACGTAGGGTAAGCGCCTTGCGTACAGGTGCTGGTATAGTTGTACCCTATGGGCATGCATGAGCGACCCTCATCCAAGGGTGCCATGATGGAGCTAGGATCATCGTAGCTGAAACAACCTCAGCTTGGAATTACCTTGACGCGGAAATATGGTACTGGTATACTCACTGCAGAGAGTTGTCGAGCCAGTTCGATGTTACCTCAGAACATTGCTCGGTATTATATTCGGGCCAGTTAGGGTAGCAGGATGCTGCCAAAGGTGCAGGCTTAAGCAAGCTCCCACCAAGCAACTGGTCAAAAACACTCCAGGTTGATTCAGTTGGCCATGTCGCATCCCCTGGCATGACCTTGCAACGATGCTGGGGAGTTCCGCTGCTGTTAGTCGAGTTACTTGCCCCGAAAGCAAATATCCTCGATAGACTCGCGTTATTAAGGGCGGTATCAGCTCTAGCCAATGCATTCTCAGTCAGCTGTACTGCTTCATAAGGAAACAAGGGCGGTGCAGCAGAAGGGCTCGTTGTCACAGTTGCCGCTGCTGCAGTCAGCGAAGCTATAGCTCTTGTAGCCTGTGCATATGCTGCGGGTGCCACCATTGAGATAACCAATCCCCGAGAAAAATACCCCTTCATGGTTACTGACGACTCGCTATGGGAGAAAGTAAGCCACAGGCCCGCTGCGAATGCAAAATGATGGGCGGGCAGTGGCTACTCTGGTACTATAAGTATTTCGCGGCTAGCGGCTGAATGAGACGCTAATAGGTTCAGATCGTCGATCGGCACCCTCACGTTCTATTACACTAAACATTACTGATCTTGGATCTGTCACAATGTGCTTAACAGAGTCTTTCCACTGGCCTTATGACGTACGGGGCCCGCGGAGGTTGAAATTGTATACTCTTGAAGTCGTGAGGTCATCGACAGCTTCCTTTGTCGTTCCCTACTCTATACAGAGGGATTGTAATCACCAACGATTAGCCTATCTTGCGACAATAAGCTACCTTTGTTCATGTTTCACGGACGATAATTTCTCACCTAGCTGACTATTATACTCAGCTGAACATGTCGGTGTACACCGCTTATTCCACCGAAACATTCATGGTCTGACTAACTGGTATTGAATAATCCAATCACTCTTAAACTAGCCTACGCACATGAACACAAGAACACTCGACTCACTAATACTATACAGGATGGGTGTCCGGCTCTAATTACTGTTGTGCTCAGTAGACGCGACAAATCGACAAAACATTGGCGATATGCGGTCGCTAATTGCAAGCGACTTACCCCCAAAACCAGCGAATTCTGCAAGAAAAAGTAATATATTCAAAGCCAGCTTCAAACTATCGTTCATAAATGTGGGGACGGCACCCGCGTCGCAAATCGCAATAACCTGTCGGCATGCAGCTA